TGCCATTACAAGCTGTCATGTTCCTTGGAAGGGTGCATGAAAAATCCAGACTTCCTCATCACAAGAGAAAGGATTTTCCACCTGTGTATGTGATGTTGATTATATCACTACCAGCCTGAAGTAAGTAAATGAGCATGGGTAAGGGAAAGAAAGTGAATGAGATACGCATTTATACTTTTGTACTATATGAACATGTACAGCATAGTTTGTACTGATTCTTAGGTTAAGCAGCACTGCTTACTTATCTGTGAATGAGGTTCATTTGCAGTCACTGCTTACCTAGCAGATTCAGAAAACGAACTTGAAAAAGTGCACTTTTCCTGTAGAACCGCTAAGTGTCACTAGCACTCTCTAGCCTTCCCTGCAAGCTTTAGTTTCTTTAACAAAGCTTCTTTGCTGAAAAACGTCGGAATATCGTAACTTCCCGAAAAGCCTGGAGCTGGGAAAGTCTGCACCTAAAATGTGAGCAAGTGGTTGAATGTGAGCTATTGATGAAATGAATTCTGGATTACATTCAAGCATAGTGTTAGAAAGATTTCCAGACAGTTTTATGAAGTATGGCTTGAGACCTACTGAAAATGATTACAGGATGGAATAAATGCTTCATGAGGAGATGTTAGAAAGGTTGAATTTCTACCACTTGGTGAGCAATTTAGAGAGCAGTCGAGGAGCTGAGATTTACAAAAATAACAAAGGAAGTAGATAGAGCAAATGGAAAATTGTCCTGTAACAAAGGACTGCTTTCTTTAGTTGTACCCAAGATAGAATTGAGGACACATAATATGGTAGGGACTCATTTGAAAAGAAAAGAAAAGAATAAACAAACAAACAAATAAAAAAACCACAAGAACCTGCTGCTGTGAGAGTTTTAGGAGCAGGTATCAACAGATTCACAATGCCTGCAGACAAACTAATGGAAAGCCAGTTTATAAAGATAAAAAAGGGGACAGGTAGTAGCAGTGTGTTCCTTAAGGTCCCATGCTTCGATGAGGGAATAGAACAACGGAAATAGATCACAGATGTTGGCCAGGTGAACCTGCTGTCCCTATAAAGTATTAAGTGTAGATGAATCTGGTGGACTGAAAGATTCAAAGGTTCCTTTTGTTCCTAGGCCAATGGAGATGAGCAGGAGCTTCTTACCCATTTCAATTTCCGTTAGTAGCAGGGTGGTCAAATTCACAGTACATATACAAATACTGCCTGAGACAAACAGGATACAGTACTTTAAAGATACTCATACAAATAAAGCATGAGTAGCCTGTTTCTAAGGGCAGGCCTTAGTTCTCTCTTGAATTTTTGACTCCCAAAGCACTCACCCTACTTGCTAACTAGAAAGACTTTGAAGTTTGTTAGTGTGTCTCCTGTGCACGCAACAGAATACAGTCAGACAGGATTGAAATAGTTTATTAAGAATACAGTACAGACTGGTGATCAGGTGCAAAACTTGCCTGCGTAAGTACATTGAGTACATAAGTACAATAAGTACATTGACAAGAACCTTCTCACATTAGCAGATCAGTTTAGCCTTCTCATTTTTCTTATTTGTTCATCTTTGATGCGTCTTGATATCATTTCCCTTTCTGTGATTTTTACCCCAAGCTATAGTCCTGCAAATACTCAAGTTCTCTTGCGTCCTAAAATCCTCCTCCTCAGTCCATACTAAGTCCTGATGCCTTTTTACTGTTTCCCTTTGTTTGCATGGATTCCAGAATGAGTTTAGTGAATTTTGCAGCGGGGACAAATAGCTTAGTCATTCATGCAGCCATTAAGGGTTGTAGAAGAGATTTATTCACAGGGATTAAGTCGGCTGGGTTTCCAGCCTCCTTGTCTTCGTTCCTTTGATCACTCTCAGACTTAAAAAAGACAAAAAAAAAAAAAAAAAAAAAAAAAAAAAAAAAAAAAAAAAAAAGAAACAGCCAAACACTTTTCCATCTGAATTTAAAGCAAAACAAAACCAAGCATTTGGAGCCCAAACATCTCGTTGTATGGTGTTTTTCAGTTTTTCAAGCAGCAGCAAATATTACTGATCCTAAGTCATCTCCTGTGAAATTATATTACTGAATCCGGTCAAGTCTTCTTTCCAACGTCATCTGAAATCCGGGAATAAATTCACTAACTCCGACGTGGTGTTAGTAAGCAGACATTCTTTGTTTACGACGTCCGATGTGCCAGGGGATTTCTCCGCCCTAACAGCGCATGTTCTGCTTTTTCAAAAGATCTTCAGCTTATATTCAATACTTGTGTTACATATGCACACATGCCCGATTTTCCCTGGCAGTATATGCATATTCAATACTCCCCCCTAAAATCATTAACATTGGCTCCTGCCTCTTTACATATGCTCAGTGATTTTGGTTGGTAGTCTCAAGACCCTCGGGGAATGAATTTAGCAGTCTTCATGACCGCATTCCTCTTGTTTTTCCAAGTTGGAAGTTTTCCATAGCTCGTTTGCAACAATGAGCAACTCTTTATCACTTAGATGATAGGAAGAGTTCTTGTGGAGTGATGTACTGGAGAGGGCATCCACACCGACCTAGATAACAGTGATATACTGGGCTCCTTGAGTAGGTAAAGGATGTTATGCAAATGTGTTTTGCTTAGCATCAGACAATTAAGGCAAGTTTCGCTTAGCAAAAGCTAGTTTTGTGAAAATAAGTATTGTTCAGTTAAGGATATCACCAACACCAAGCTCAAACTTTAACTTAGTTCCCTAAGCTGGGTAACTGACGTAAGTGATGTTCAGCAGAACCAATCAAGGCAAGGCTGACGTGCTCGTGTAGATAGCTTCTCTTCTTATTTCTAAATGTGGTAGTTCAGCTCTGGCACTTTCTTAATGCACTTCATGCAGATTTCTGCTGTACACCTGAATCCAGGCGGAGAACACTCCAGTGATTTCAAGAATTACACAAAATGTTCTCTTAATATATCCTTATAAGCATAGCTGGTGAATTGTTGTATAACATGAATAATACTTGCCTGAAGCACCATAGTAGCCTTTAGATGTTACGGATGATATTTGTGAGGGAGGGGGAGACGAGTTGTAAGACCGTCCTCCTTTAACATGATAGAAGTTATAACAATATAATTAAGCTTGCTAGTGTTCACTGATAGATACCCCTGTTCTGCAGTTTGTTTAAATAACAGAAAGAACCTGCCTCTGAATCAAGGAAGCTCTGCTGAGTCTTTGTACTAAGTAAATAGGAGGTACAGCTTAGAATCAGTCACTCAGAATCAGAATATGCAACATACTTCTGGGAAAACCTGTAACAAAAAAATGTGACATAACTCCTAGAAACTTCTGCATATGTAACATATCTCTTGGAAAATTTCTGCATATATAACACCAGTTATGTGTATAAACAGAAGATTTTTTGTGTAAGCTATGCACAATTGGAGGAGCACCTCCATGTAACCAGCACCATCAGTAAGAATACTTGCTTAACTGTAATAAAACTTTTGCTGTTAAATCTTTTTGCATCGACTTCTTCAGTTCACCAGGCACAGCTCTTTCTGCTGCATCATGGTCATTTATCAGTGTTTTCCTAAGTATCAAGATAAATATTTTACCTACATAAAATTGCTGATGTTTAGTAAGATTAACCATTCTCCGGAAGAGCTGATTGCAAATTTTCTCAACAGAGAGCACACTCTTTAAGCTGAGTGCTGCACCTGCCCTGCAAAGCTCAGTTCCGCTGGTTATAAAGCCAGAGCTATCGGTCCATTGGTTCTCTCCCCAGCGCTGGTAGAGAATACAGGACAGCGACGCGTGCCCCTCACCCGCTCTGATTGCTGGGGCCTGACGGGGCGCAGAGGTGGGAACCACAGGCGAGCACTGCCGGAAAGACAGCTCTCATACAAGGTTCCCAAACGCCGCCACCAGGCTGCAGCTGCCGTCGCCCGGGCAACAGAAAGCGGCGCTCGGGAAGAGATCGTGTGCCCGGAAGCGCCTCAAGAGAGGAAGTGACGAGCGCTTGGGTGCCCCGGAGGCCAACAGTATTAAAAAAAAAAAAAAAAAAAAAAAAGGCGGGACAGGCGTGGTGGGAGCGCGCGGAGCATTTACCATCCCCGCCCCACCGTTCTGCTCCGCCAACCCACAACGGCCGCGCAGTGCGTCGAGGCTGCACCGCCGGGACGGGCTGGGCCGCGGCTGCCTGGAGCCGCCTCGAGGTAACGCCCCCGTCCCGCCCTCCCTGAACAACGGCACTCGTGCCCCGCCCCGCCCGGCCCGGCCCGGCCCGGCCTGGCTGTCCGCGCACGGGGGCGTGTCAGGCGGCGGCGGCGGCGTGGGACTTCGGTGGCGCCTGGCCCTCACAGGGTGGCGCGGGGCTAACGCCGGCGCGGGAGCGGCGACTGCAGGTGAGGCTGGGCCCGGGGTCCGGGTGGCCGCGGCTTATTCCTCGGGGCCGGCGAGGGTGCGCCGCAAGTTGACAGCGCCTGCGGAGCGGCCATTGTCTGTCCTACGCCGAGCAACTGGAGCGGTGGTCGGCAGTAACTTCGTCTCGAAGCGGCGCTCCCGCCTGCCCGGCAGCTGCCGGCCTCGCCGAGCTTCGCGCCTCCAGCTTCGCAGGGATGGGGTCGCAGTCGCGCCTCGTCCCCTGTCCTCCTTCGCCAGCATCCTGCGGCGGGTTCCCCCATCCTTCCCTCCCTCGCTTTCTTTCCCTTTCTCCCCTCTTCCCTCCCAGCGAGTCTATGTCGTATTGTATCTGTGTGTTGCGATGAAGTGTCTGCAGGCAGCGTACGGTCGCTCTGTATTGGGCGCTCAGCCCACCCTCTGTTGGATGCAACTCGCACTCACCGAACTTCGCTCCCTGGGCTGCGAGCCATGCGGGGACTATGGCCGCGCTCGTGCCCCCCTCAGCCTTGGTGGGGAACTGGGCGGGTGGGCTGCGGGGCGAGGTGCTCACAGTGCTTTACTGTTGCACCCGCTGCTGCCGGAACATCTGGAAACCGAGTTACGGGTCCCTACGGTTTCCTCTCTCTGCCTGAATAGTTCACAGAATGTGCTGCAGGAAAGCGATGGTAACTGTGAGGAGGAATGTCTGGGTGGTTGGCTGTTCTGTCCTTATCTTCTGGTCAAATCTGCACAAATCTTGTTGGTTAACTTAGTCTCCCAAGGATGAGATTACAAAGCCAATTGTAAAATTAGGAGATGTTCTGCAGGTAACACCTGTGTGCCAGGATGGGGAAAGCAAGTAAAATTTTTCTAAACCTGATGTGTTCAGTAGCTAGAGTAGATGCTTGCTCTAATCTGCTGCACTTGAGAAGGGCCAGAGGCCTGTAGACAGACCACCTCTGTTTGTCTTGTGTGCTGTTATCAGCATTGCAGGTTAGACTCTAGGCTGGCTCGTGTTCTCATGTTTGCTTGCCTTGTTCTATAAATTAGTTCTGTGCCTTTCTTTCACCTTCCTCTCTGCTGTGTTGTCGTTCTTGTCATGGTGTTAATAGGTCTTTGTATTCTTCCTTTCCTGCCTTTCAGGGTGCAGTTCTGTGCTAAGTATGATGTAATTTAGCTACCTAGTTGTTGTTTCAAGGTTAATTTCCAGTGAGGCCACATTTTTACTGCCTTTTTTTTTTTTTTTTTTTTTTTTAATTTTCTTGGGATCTATCAGTTATGCTTGTATAATGGTTTGCATGACTGTTTGGAGTATCATTTAATAATTTTTGGTAGATTATTAATCTCATGGAGCAGATAGTTGAGTCATCTAATAGCTCAGTGATCACTAGACTGACATAAAATAAAGAGGAACGTGTCTGGAAGATGTGTGTGGAGAGGGAAGAGGGTGAAGTCTGGGCTATTTTGTGTGGAAATAGCCTGTGTCTGAATTGGATTATGGTAACGTGGGGCTGCCTCCCTAGATGTACTTGCCTGCTTGAAGTGGAACTTAGCTCTTCATTTTTGTGTTTGGAAAGGTTTGTGTTTGTTGGCCAGTCCTGTTCATTAAATTCTTACTTCCCTTCTGCAAAGGGAGAGCATGCTTCTCTAGCTATGCCTCCAAAGGCCTTTTTCCTACAGAGTTTTTTGAGTACCTTCTTTCCAGAGGTTCTAGTGTGTCAGGAGGATTCTCCTTCTGCCAGGTCTTGATTATCTGTAGATCTAGATCAGTGTGATTCTCAAAAATGTGTGAAATCTTGCAGATTGATGATGTTGTATATGAGGAAGCATGAGCTGATGGAATGGAGCACCAGGTTTGAAGCTAGGTTTCTCTTTCTAGTGCATCTTTTGAGAGTAAGGGCATGTGCTACAGCTAGGCTGAACCAATGTCTTATTTAGTTACTTTCTCTTCCACACATGATTGACAGCTGTAGGGTCACAACTGAGCTACTTCAACTCACTGATCTAGCCAAAGCTTACGTTTAAAGTGGTTTTTTTTTTTTTGTTTTGTTTTGTTTTTTTTCCCCAAAGTTAACAAGTTGCGTCAACTGATGGGAAGATCTAGTGAGCATCAGAAGTGAAGTAAATGCTGGGAGGAACCTGTGAGGGCAGATTGAGAGTGGGCAAGAGAACAGTGTCTCCTATGGAGAAGGACTTGGTGGTCCTGATGAATGAAAAGTTGGACATGAGCCAGAAGTGTGTGCTTGCAGCCTGGAAGGCCAACTGTATCCTGGTGTGCACTGAAAGAGGGTGGCCAACAGGACAAGGAGGGTGATTGTGTCAGTTTGCTCTGCCCATGTGAGGCCCCACCTGCAGTAACGCATCCTGGCCTGGGGCCTTCAGCACAAGAAAGATGCAAGGCAGTTGGGGTATGTCCAGAGGAGGGCCACAAAGGTGATACGCAGACTTGTGCACCTGTCTCATGAAGAAAGGTTTGAAGGTGTTGGGCTTGTTCAGTCTTGAGAAGAAAAGGCTCTGGGGAGACCTCATTGTGGCCTTCCATTACTTGAGAAAAGCTTATAAGCAGGAAGGGGGGCAACTTTTTGTACACTCAGATGGTGATAGGACAAGGGAGAATAACTTTAAACTAAAAGGAGACTTTGATTAGATGTTAGGAGAAATTCTTTTTTTTTTTTTTTTTTTTCAGAGGGTGGTGAGGCACTGCAACAGATTGCTCAGAGAAGTTGTGGGTGCCCATCTCTGAAGCTTCAGAGCCAGGTTGGATGGGGCAGTGGGCAACCTTATCTATCAATAGAATAGCGTAGTTTGGAGGAGACTTCAGAGATCACCTAGTTCCAAGGCTCCTGCTGTGGGCAGTTGTGAGTAGCTTGATCTACTGGTTAGCAACCAAGATCACAGCAGAAGGGGGGGGGGAGAGAGGTGGGAGATTGGAAATAAATGATCTATAAGATAAAGTCCCTTCCAAGCCAAGCCATTCTGTGATGCTTTTAGTTGTGCTATAATGTGTACAGTTTCACTTTGATTGTCACATTTGTCCTATGTACTACTTCTTTGTCCCACAGTCCTTTGAAAATGTCTGTATTCTTTCTCCTCAGTTTCTCACTTTTCAGTTGTCTCCTCCGGAGCTTTTATCTTCTAGGTAGGCTTATTGACCAACTCTTTCTATCTGTTGCAGAGTTGTGGATGAGGACAGTAGTGGCCAGCTAGGAGAGTGTTTGAGTTGAGAAGAGGATGCCTGCATGGTCGAGTTGGTTGCTGTGGTCACTACTGAAGCAGATACAAGAGGCTAGTGTTGGATTAGCAGGGAGACACCTAGGCAGTACTTGAGGGCAGAGGTGAAGATGCACGGGGTGCCAGGATTGAAGCAACATCAACATGCTGGTCAATTAGAGAATTTTACAGATTTCAAGGAGCTGGTCTGGAGCAGCAGTTCCCCTGATTTTGTCAGTCATTCTCAGTACTGTCAGTGCTATTGTTTTTCTTTAAAGGTATCTGCTCCTAACGGTGCTCCTAACACCGTTCTGGAATTTAAAAACTGATGGAGAATATTGTTTCACCTCCTTTTATGCTTTGCTTACTGACCTGGAAAAAGTTGAGTTTGATGAATGCTAAAAAGCTTGAAATGTTTGGTATTAAAGAGGTGTAGATACAGGGGCTGTGCTGGTGCTGTGGGATCCTGGAAGCCTAGGGGTCTTATTTAGAGGTCTCAGAGGTGAGCTGTTGGGGAGCCAGCTGGTGGTTTAGTCAGTAATACAGAGACTATCAAAAACTATCAGAGACTATCTTTTTTTTTTTTTTTTTGATCTTATACAAATGATATCCTTCTAAAAGATTTTTTTTTTTTTTTCCAGAATTCTGTTCCCAGTTTATCACTTTTGTCTTCCTTTTTCTGACTTCAGTGGCCCCCCCATGCCTCCCATCTTCCTATATAGTGTATGCTTCTTGATACAAGAAAACCCCGCGATCATTTCCATGTATTACTTTTCCTCTAAGTACTTTTTTTTCAGTCACTTCTCTTCCTCTTGGCTGATGAATGCCATCTTCAGGCTTTTCTCAATCCTGCAGGCCACTGCAACTCCCCTTTCTGCTGCTGGAAAATCTGTCTCTGCATGACTCCTTCAGCAGTTTTCATCTCATAAGCATGGCTAGTGATCCCTTCATCTGCTCTGCTTGTGACTCCATCCATACCTAAAGCAACTCACCACTCTAGATAGCAGCTTCCAAATGAATATTCGAGTTATGATCTGTAAGGAACAATGAGTAGCTGGAAATGCGTGTGTTCAGAAAAGAAGGAAACAATTGAGGGGGCTAAACTGGGAGAAGGAATTATCTGCAGGGCAGCAGAGTTGTAGGATAATCGAACCTCTTGTGAGACTAGAGGAAGAGATGATAAGAAGTTGCAAAACTGCAGTGGCAGACTAGAAGCGCTGTTGATTTTCCTCAGTTCCCTGGACTTGAGGTAGAAGTAAGCAGGTCTGTAACCAAATTGTTTCTGAATGACCTGCAGCTGCTACTTCACTCTGCTACCTGTTTAAGAATTCAGTATGCTGTAGCTTCCAATTGCAGCATGACAATAAAAATATGAGAATGTGTGTATTACGTTTCATACTGGTAATGAAAGATAGAAACTGTGAGCATAATTTCTGGATTATTTCAGCCTCTGGCACCCCTTTATCTTTGTGATGTATCAAAGTTGTGGAAGAAGCCTGGTAGTGGGATATTCAAGTAAAAAGACTGTGTAACACAATGCACTACAGTTTGGCTCCTTCTATAACCTGACATAGTTCCCAATTCTCTCAATTTAGAGCCGGAGTCCATCTCAGCCAAGCTCTTGGGATTCTGTCACCATGGAGACTGAGAGTGAGCAGAACTCCGGCTCCACCAGTGGGAGCTCCAGCTCTGGGGGAAGCACCCGTCCTCAGATATCACAGATGTCTCTGTATGAGCGGCAGGCTGTTCAGGTGAGGTGCTACTATGTGCTAGGAATAAATGTGCATCAGTGAAAGGGTGGTGAGCCCTTTTGTATGTACCTGAGTTGTCGTGTCAGGGTGGGACCTTGAAGGGGTGTCTTGTTTCTGGATTTAGGATTTTTTGTGCTAGGCCTGACTTTTACTTCATTCTTTTATAAGTTACTCCACCGGCCTCTTAGATTTAATCTACTGTGACCCAATAGACTCATTTTAGCTCCATTATTGTAGAGCAAGTTGCTCAGCTTGTCATACTATTTTCTCTATACAGACTTTACCCCACGAGTGTCCAACCTTTTGGCTTGCCTCGGACCCACTGAGTGAATAGGATTTGTCTTGGGCCACATGTGCATAAGTTGCTTTGAAAGTAATGCCTCCTATTTATTTCGGTATAAACAACAACAGTTACAAAAAGCACAATAATACTGTTTGATGGAATAAATTCTCAGCTACAAAACACTATTTTTCAACATAATCACTACCAGTAGCAATGTTTTTTTTTTTTTTGCCAGTGATGATGTGAGCCTGCATGCTGCACTCATAAAAAAAAAATATATATATATTCTTCAGCTGAAGGGACCCACTGTCACTGCTGCTGAAACACACCACCTGCCACCTCTCTGTGCTAACATCCACTGTTTGGTGTCCATAATTGTTCAGCAAGCATTGGTGAATGTCAGCGGGTGCAATTTTTTCCAAATTGAATTCAGTTCCACACCATTTCTTCATACACACTTCCACGTCAGACAGCAACATACAATTATTTGCCATCACGTGAGTCAGCACTGTGCACTGCATAGCACTGCCCTCCCCACATCTCAGCTTCAGTTGACACAGTGTTAATAGTGTTTAGCCATTGCTAAATGTTGAGTGCGTGTCCCCACAGAGTGGTCCCAGACACCGCTTTTGTAGCACGGGGTGGACTGTGTTGCAGACTGTGCTGGGCTACATGCAGCCCATGGGTTGGACATGTGTGCTTTATCCTATATATTCATGCTGTACTGGAGCACTTGTCTGCCTGCTGAACCATGAACACTGCCAGATTCCTGGAGCTTATTAAAATTTTGCGAATGTGCTTTTTGCTATCTTAGAATATACCTGTGATTCAGTCTTTATCAATTTTGTAGCTTTAATACTTATTTTGGTGTTCTAATGTGGTGGCCTTGCTTTTTTCACGGGGACTAGAGATTGTCTCAAGGCTGTTACTTATTTCTTCATTTATCTCTCTAATCATGTTTCAAGGACATGCTATTTTTCACAATTGGGTTTTACTCTTTCTTTAGGCTCTTCAGGCACTCCAGAGACAGCCCAATGCAGCCCAGTACTTTCATCAGTTTATGCTCCAGCAACAGCTTAACAGTGCCCAGCTTCACAGCTTGGCTGCTGTCCAGCAGGTGAGTTGCACTGGATCTGAGGAAGATGTGGAGATTCTCTGCTCGTACACTGAGGTCCTTATCTGCGATTCCCTGAACACGTTGTTTGGGGTTAATACAAACAGCTAGTAAACTGTGAGGGTTGATGAAAAGATTTGTTTGCTTTTCAGCAAAAAAATTCATCTCACCAAATGGGAACTTGCACTTTGGAGGCATGTGACTTGCCATTCTACCTCCTTGAAAGAAAAGATAGGTGGTTAAATCACCAGGGAATGTTTTAAAACAATCTTAAAGTGAACTGTGGATGGCTATTTCTCTAATAACTGTGGTTTTCTGTATGTGAAATTTAATGTGAGGTCCTCTGAATTTTTATTTTGAAACTATTCTGTTTTCTTTACTAGTTACTAGAAAGAAAGTTCCTAGAAAGGGGTAGATCTTATCTATCAATAAGGGTGTTTCCTTAATTGAATTTTGCTTATTGAGATGATGTATGATGCTTAATTGTTGAGCAGGTATTTTTATTTAGCAACTTTGCTCACCTGTCAGACTTTGTCAGTTGAAGATAAATTAAATGTGATGCGACAGTACAGGTCTGTCCCTCTCAGTAGCTTTGCTTCTTGGCTGTTAGTCCAAGATTTAATTGTTTTCAAATCCCTACCTGTAGTTCTATAGCATGGAGTGAATAGAGTATCGCGAGTATCATACTAAACTTTTCTGTAAAACCAACTAGACATGTATAGTATACTTGTTGTGGGATCACATAGGAAAGGAAAAAAGCATTGAACACTATTTACCTTCCTCCACTAACCATACGTGCCTCAATTTGAAATTTGTTACTTGCAGTGCTACCATTGTATTGTTAATAACTTGCATGACTAGCCCAGCAAATTGCTAATATTGGCAGGGACTATCTGGGTGTTAACAGTGGACTGGAGCATCATCAGAGTTGCAGCATGTAGCATGACAAACTGAGGCAACAACAGGATATGTACTTAATTGTGGAGGAATGAAGGTCATGCACTTTCAGTGTTTATTTCCATTGCATGTATTGTACAGGACTGAAATGGTTTGGTGAAAAGGAGGTGTCTTGCTGAGTTGCACTTGATTTGTTGAGGGGTTTGTAGTAGTTCGACTGTGCTCCAGTTCTTGAAAATGGGAGAAGATGATGATGATGAGACTCGGTGTTTATACGAAACCAAATATTTGGACCTTTCTTTCAAGTACTCTTTTCTCTGTCAATCTTTCTTACAGGCTACTATTGCAGCTAGTAGACAGGCCAGCTCACCAAACACCAGCACCCCTCAACAGACTACCACCACCCAAGCCTCTGTAAGTTATCACATATCAAAGCCTTTCTCTGCCCCCTACTCTCCTCTGCCCTTGTTCTTTCTCCTCTTTGTCTTTTAGGAAGGCAGTCAGCCAGGGAAACACAGCTTCTAAGAATGCTGGGAGTCCACAAGATACAGACAACTTTGAGGACTTGGGGTGCTGTCATAATTGGTGGGGGTTGAGGAGCCCAGAGAAGGTTTCTGAGTGGGAGAGGCCTCTTAGCTGGAAAGGTAGTCACTGATCTCTTTTTCCTGAGGCTTTGGGGATATATTGTCATGGTTTAGAAGAGTATCAGGACTTCTTAGAAGGAGGAGTTTTGAGCAGTTTGAAAGGGACCATTCTTTGGCAGAGCTCATTGAATGAGTGGAAGTATGATTTTGTAGTGCATATTGGGAAGCTGCGATTTGTTCAGGGAATAGGTGAGTTGGTAAGGTAGATTACTTTGTTTTTGCTGGTTTGATTTTATTTTTCCTTTACTTGAGAGGCTGGAGAAAATGTATTTTTAGATCTCTTATTGAAGTTACAAACTATCAGAGATACCTGGGCTTAGCTTACAAATGAGTTTAGCATTCAGGGTTGGCTAATTTAGATTGCATAACCCATTAAGGCAAGAATTTCTTTCTTCTTGGCCCCCTGCATGATACAGGGAGAATCTGTGAAATATTGCTTCTACGCCCCAGTAAGTGGATTTGTTCTTATTTCTTTTGCCCCCATCCTTCCTGTATGATTTGGGACTTTTCTCTGTTTTAAGATCAACCTAGCCACCACATCAGCTGCTCAGCTGATCAGTCGTTCACAGAGCGTGAGTTCTCCCACTGCCACAACTCTGACGCAGTCTGTGCTCCTTGGGAACACCACTTCACCACCTCTCAACCAGTCGCAGGCACAGATGTATCTCCGGGTAAGAGATTTGTACACACAACTTGTCCTGTGTATAAACCATGTCTTCCTAGACACTCTTGTTTCAGTTTTTGGAGCTACCAACACTTCTGGGCTAATTCCAGATTAAACTAACTCAAAATTTAAGAGTGTTGTGTTCTGAATTCAGATGGGAAAGGTCTAGTCACAGTTTGACTCTGGGCTTAGCTTAAGATGAATTTTGTATTGTATACTGAGATACTTAAGAACCATATTTGTCTCTGCTCTGCATAGATGTTAAAGATCCCATGGCACTTCTCACTGGAGTACAAGTGTGAAATATGTTTACTAGACTTGACTACGGCTCACAAAAATAAAACTACTTGTTCATTGTTGGAACAGATAGATAGTAAATTACTCCCTTCAGCTACTCCACACAGGGACACAAGCCAAGATTCAAGCACTTGTAGAAACATAAATCAATATGAACAAATAATCTTTTTAATCAGTTTGAAGTGCTGCTATATAAAAAACATTAGACTTCACTATTATCAATCTCAGGTTTGATTACTTACTTGGAAAATATGTTTTTTCTTTTTGTTGGCATTAGATAAAGATTGTAATCTCCTTTTCAAGTAACCCTAGTCTTGGATATGTCTTTTATCTCTGCTGGTCAGCCAGTCCCAGATATACGCCTCGGAATTAAATTACATGCAAGTCTTCTAGCTAGTCCTGGACAGCCTGTGGGAGTTGACTCAGGCCCCTTTTTTTAATAGCAGATTATTTGTCTCCATAAGAAAATTGCTTCCACTTTCCTATTCTTGAGGGTTATATTTACTGTTACATTGCAGGGAATGCTGGGATTTTTTCCAAGTGCAACATTACAGCCCTTTGTTGCTCTCTAAGCTGCTTGTGGTTCACTGTCTTTCTTTCTGTATTCTCCTCCGTTCCTTTCATTTCACATCACCTGACCCTTCCCCCAACAGCCGCAGCTGGGAAACCTGTTGCAGGTAAACCGGACCTTGGGCCGCAATGTCCCTCTTGCTTCCCAACTCATCCTGATGCCTAATGGGGCCGTGGCTGCTGTCCAGCAGGAGGTACCACCCACCCAGTCTCCTGGGGTCCATGCAGACACAGACCAGGTCAGTGACACCTCCTTCCTGGAGTCCTTCTCTTCCCCTGCGCTCTGCCACCTGCTCTCTGGTCCTTTGCTCTGGCCACCAATGCTTATAAAGAAGGTTGGCTCTGTTTTATCCCCGTTCTGTGTCCCTGTAACTAGTGCAGATAAGACATGTTCTCTTGTCATCATTTCTCAATGTTTGCTTTTTGCCTCCAGAAACAGGATTCATTCCAGCTTAAAATTTCTGAGATGAGACATAACCTGAATCACATCTTCACAGTTGCTCGATTATCCTTGTGTGAAAAAAAAAATTGCTAAGATCTATGTCCATTTTTTTTTTTCAGTTGGACATTCACTTTGCATGAAAGAGTCTTTGCCAGCAGTAGTATTCCTTTGCCCAGTTGGTTTGTTGTAAAAATGCCTAAGACTGGACAGGCCACAAGTTCTTATCTCCTGCATTCACCTGCAAATGTTTCTACAGATTGCTGTGGCTTCCCATTTTCCTGGTCCTAACCCAGTTATGCTTGGGATTTCCAGAAACTTCATATTTATCTTGTCTGAACCACTTTTTCTGGCCAAGTTAGTCCCGATCAGACGTGAAGATAACACTGCATGTGGAGGGGGAGTAAATACAGAAGATGGCAACGCCAAAATACAGAGGAAATAGAGAAAGGCTGCAGAATAGCTGCAGGCATCATAAGTGGAAAGCCCTGCATAGGAAAAGAAGCAAACAGCACAGAAGTTGAAAAGGAATTACTAGTCTTTAAAGGAGTATCAGCGCTTTTAACAACCATGTGAAAGTGTATCCTAGCAATGCAAGGGCGAGGCAGGTCTGAAGGCTGTTGCATGCCTCAGAGAGGACGGTGGTGTTCTTACGCGGTGTTCAGAAAGTGCCAGAGATCTTTAACTTCCATCAGAGATGGAGCAAAAGGGAGTTCACGTTTATATATTTTCTGGGAATAGCTGCAGCTGAGCTTTATCCTGCAGTGTAGGCCAGCTCTGCGTGTGAGACTTAAAGCATCAAATCAGCCTGCATCCCAGTAGCGTTTATTGCTTATGCATTCTCTTGTTCTCTACTGTTCTTAGACTTCTAGGAAGTTACATGCATAAAACAGACTGTATTTTGTATGTGTTTCTAGGTTCAAAACTTGGCTGTGAGGAGCCAACAGACCTCAGGCACTAATGCCCAGCTCCAAGGCTCTGCTCAGAAGGCGGCTCTGCCAGGAAACTCCCAGGCTTCAGGCCTACCACAGGCCACAAGTACAGGCCAGACTGTGGCAGTGGCTCCAGCCTCTTCTGGCAGCATGGGCCAGTCTCTCAACTTGAGCCAAGGGGCAGCAGGCAGTAATGGTGTCTCCGGGGGTGTGGTTGCAAGTAGTGGGAGCCAGAATTCTACAGCATTGAGCCAGACGGCCTCTGCAGGTGCTGCTGGCAGCTGCCAAAGGAAAGGAACGGGAGTGGTTCAGCCATTACCAGTAGCAGCTGCCCAAGCAGTGACTGTCAGCCAGGGAAGCCAAACAGAGTCAGAGAACGCAGCCACAAAGAAGGGTGAAACGGACAGTGGTGGACAGCAGACTGTGGGCATGAACCTTACCAGGACAGCTACACCAGCACCCAGCCAGACATTGATTAGCTCAGGTAAGCGGTGCTCTCTTCCTTCTCTTTGAATTACCTGGGCTTTTGTGAGAATGCCATTTGAAAGTCCAGCAGTGAAAGGTTCCCTATCATGCCCTCCAGCTTCAGTGCTCCCACGGGCTGTTCTGCTGGGATTATCCTGCTCTATTAATGACAGAAGTTGATCTCAGCCCATTCAGTCCCCACGGTCTTCGACCAATAAGCTGTCATTTTGGAGTCATTTTACTGAATCAGACCAGTACAGTGGCTACTTGCTTTTTCTTGTTCCCAGCTGTGCTACTGGTAACCTTTATTCTCTCTTCTTGTTTGGCTCTGTGTTTGTATATAGCTACATATACACAGATTCAGCCACACTCACTGATCCAGCAGCAGCAGCAGATCCACCTGCAGAAACAGGTGGTAATCCAGCAGCAGATTGCCATTCATCACCAGCAGCAGTTCCAGCACCGCCAGTCCCAGCTCCTCCACACAGCCACCCACCTCCAGCTGGCCCAGCAACAGCAACAGTCATCATCTCTGACCCAGCAGCAGCAAGCTCAACCTCCACAGCAGCAGGCTCCACCTCAAAACCAGCAGCAGACTCAGACCCTTGTGGTGCAACCTATGTTACAGTCCCAGCCACAGTCTGTTCAGCTCCAGCATGACAGTCCTAGCCAGCCAGCCACCAAGTCACCTGTTCCAATTCAGTCAAAGTCTATGGTCACCATCAAACCACCTCAGCTTGGGCCTGCCAAAATGTCAGCAGCACAGCAGCCTCCACCACACATCCCTGTGCAGGTGGTGGGTACTCGGCAGCAGGGCTCAGGCCAAGCCCAAGCACTGGGTATAGCTCAGATTGCTGCAGCTGTACCAACTTCCCGGGGAATGCCAGCTGTGGTCCAATCTGTTTCCCAAGCCCATGCTCCTTCCCCACCTTCTTCAGCTCCAGTATCCTCGCAGGAAGCTCCTCCTCTCACTACAGGGGTGAATTTGGCACAAGTTCAAGGTACAACCCACATGGTGAAGAATCCTACCTCCTCTCCAGTTGTGGCTCAGATGCCAACAGCATTCTACATGCAGTCTCTCCAGTTGCCAGTAAGTCAAGAGAGAGAATACCGTATGGATTCTCTTTGTTCAGTCCAAGGACGCTAATTGTATTCTAGCTGTGGGTCAGTGGGATGGGAGGAATAAGAAGTTTGAATTAGGGAATATGTATGGAGACTTTACCTTTCAAGAACACAAATTCCAGCCCAGCTCTTGGGGTTAGTGAGCACAAGCATTTCTCTTTCACGTGATCATTCATTCAAAGACTTGCATGAAACAAATGGGGGAGACTCGGACCCTCACTGAAACAGGGTAGGTGTCCACATTACATACGAAATATCCTATTTAACAACAATTGGCCTCTTCATTGTTTCTCTCAGGAGAGAGAAGGCGGCTGTGTGGGCCATGAAGACTGAACTTCCCTCTCCCTACTAGGTGTGGATATCTCCAGGTCAGAGAAACCTTGATGTGTGGTCTCAGCCACGCAGGTAGAGCTGGCTCTAGGCCTCAGAGGATTCCCTAGCAACAGGCTATGCAGAGGTAAACAAAGATGGCTCCTGTTCCACAGGCCTCTCTCATGCTGCTCTGAATTGTCCAACTAGGACCTACCTGACTAACTCCTTGGTACACCAACACTTTCCCAGCTCAGATACCCTCAGCTTGTTGCTGTGACTGTACTTTTTAGTGGGGCTTCACTTGTATAGTCAGGGACAGAATGTGCCAGTTTGTTTCTAAACTCTGCTTCTTCAGGAAGTTACCACTGGATTTGTCTGATTTTTAGAACTGGGGGGACGATTCTGCTGTCATCCAACATCTTTCCTCAACTGATCTGACAGATTTTCATTGGATAGGATCTGATGTAATCAGAAGCTTATTTGGAAACTTTTGAGTGACTGCTATTCCATTTCTTTCTTACTGGAATAATACCTCAATGTTCTCACAGTGTCTTGGTATTATATGAATATCTCAATATATCAACTAGGATTCTAGATCTTAATCGCAGTAGTCTGACAGTGAGTCTTTTGAAGTTTGGCTTTGGCTGACCAGTCATTTGAAAGTTTGGCTCTGTTCTAGACAAACACTCCTAAATAAAGATATGTACTCTGAGGGAGCTGGAGGCATTTCCAGGGTTGGAACCAGACTGGAGATAAGTACGATGGACCAGGGTCTATCTTTGCATCGCCTTCAATCTGTGTTGTTTTCTGCTTTGTGATTTTTCTCTTTGCTTACGTGTTCTACTTTGCTCATGCAGGGCAAGTCTCAGAGCTTAGCAATAAAGCGCAAGGCAGAGTCAGAGGAGGAGAAGGAGGTATCAGCCAGTGTCACTGCACTAATGCCTGCCAGGTCCTCTCCTGTGACAGATAGCCCCAAAAATGTGGAGGAAAATAATGGCCATGGAGGTGAGGTACAAAGTAGAGCTCCATCTTATGTGTGCTAATAATCTGATCTCACACTCCATGTAAAGTAGATTGAGCAATAGTAACGCTGACTCTTGGGCTGTTAACATTCCAGATAAATCTGATTCTGCTGCTACTGCAACCCCAAATGCCACATCAAGTGAAGGAACATCAGTCACCTCGACTTCTGTTCCCACTGCAAACCTGGCAATGGTGTCACGTCAGACAGGAGACTCCAAACCTCCACAAGCCATTGTTAAGCCCCAGATCCTCACGCACATAATAGAGGGCTTTGTCATCCAGGAAGGAGCAGAGCCCTTTCCGGTAAGAATTTACTGCTGCGAGGGAAATATATCTCTTGGAAGGGTGGCAGGCATTCATCTTTCAACAGATGAACAGACTATATTTCCCCATGCTCCAAATCAGCTTTTTTAACTTAAAACACGGAATTGAGGAAGGCGAAGGAAGCTGTTTTCATGCATGAAGCTAGGTGTCAAGAGTTGTTACTAGAGAACAGGTTGGAGAGAGTAATATAAGAGTGCTGGGAACTGTCTTCTCCAGTAGTTCCCAAAGCAATACATTCTTTAGGAATTGTAAGAAGGTTCTTCTGCCTGGGTTTTAGTGAGGGAAGGATGCACTGCATTGCATTTTGAACAAGCAGCAAGTTTAGGCAAATGAGGGGCGATAAGTCACATGGGTAGGCTATTCAAGGAAGACAGTACATGTTGAAAGAACTCTCACATCTGTGAGTCAGGAAGGAGTAATAACTTTGTTCAGTATCTTCTTCACTAGGCAGAGGGATTCTTTTGAGTCATAAGGCGTGAGGGACTTATGCCTTGAAAGGGGATGGTGGACACAGAGACTCCTTTATTGATGGGCCCAATGCTTTCTCTTCCTGCCCAGGTGGGTTGTTCTCAGCTGCTAAAAGAATCTGAGAAACCTTTGCAGGGAGGGGCTCCTGGCCAGGGTGAAAACCTGTCCAGCAATTCTCCAGGAGGGAACAGTGCTTCTATGGGTGAGTTTCAGCACCAGAACACACAGGTAGTGGTACTGAAAATTTCTTATAATACTTCATTATTTACTTTATATAGTATGGACTTGTCTTTCTTCCTGCCCTCCTGCTAACTTCTTAGAGACTCAAGCTACAGACCCAGGGTCTCTTTTTCTCAAGTGCCAGAAAATATTGCTTGTTTTTAATACAATCTAGCACATGTTAGTAGTAAGCAGAATCTGAACTGTGATGACTTAAGGTTGTAAAGGGTATTTGGACCCAGTAGAGAGTGCAGTGGTGGAGATTCCTGTGCAGACTTATAGGGTATGAGGGATATGTTATTTCTTGTTAAGTGAAAAGATACTGACAGGAGAAGTGCACAACTCTGTTCAATATCTTGGGCTCCTAATTAGTGAAGCTTCTGCCTCTCCCCAAGCTAATTGCTTTGTAGCTTCAAAAGAGTGCTTGGAATCTGCTCTGAGAAGAGCAGCAGAATGAGGAATCTTTATATGTGATTTGTTTCAGTTCAAATAATCAAATGGTGTGCATCTCTGTGTCTCACTAGATCTTGATAAGAAAGCAAACTTGCTGAAGTGTGAATACTGTGGGAAGTATGCCCCAGCTACCCAGTTCCGTGGCTCCAAAAGGTTTTGTTCCATGACCTGCGCTAAAAGGTAATAGCAAGACATCTCTTCCTTTTCTCGTGAGTTTCAGAATTCTCTGGAATTTGGCATTTGCCCTTTTTCCAGGTAGTGTATACTATTTAAGTACATCTGTCTGATTCTCCCTTCATGGGATGCACTGACCACACAGATCCTTTAGGACTGGATGTGTTTATGACTTGTGAGTGCTTCTAGGAGGCATATGTGGTGTTGAGTATAAACAGGATTTTTTTACTTGCTCAGAAAATCAGATGGGAAGGGGGAAGTTCTTGGGCTCCAGAGAACCTCTGTTCAGTTGAACATACATTTGGCTGACTAAATTAATGCATACTGACAGCTGTCTGCTGTATTGATACTAGACGAAGACACAAGGAGAAAAACCTGGGAAGACATTACAATAGTAGAGTACTTGTTATGGGTTTTCTTTTCCATTAAGGGAATGACTTAATTGACCTTTCAGATGTTAGAGCAAGATTTTGGTATACAAATATTGCTTGTGTCAGAAGTCTGGACTGGTTTCTTCTAGGGAGAATTCTTAGAAGGAAGAACAGAATTTGTTGGTAAAGATGAGTTTCATCCCCATTTAGAAGGAGAAGCAGTAATTTAGTTAATTGCTGTATCCTAATTGCTGCTCTGCTTCTACTTATTTGAGGTACAATGTCAGCTGCAGCCATCAGTTTCGGCTGCAGAGAAAGAAGATGAAAGAACTCCAGGAAGCTAACTATGCTCGAGTGCGCCGACGGGGATCACGGCGCAGCAGCTCTGAAATTACTCGAACAAAGATCCAGGGCAAGCGTCACAGGGTAAGGCCATAGTCCTGTCTGCTTCTGTCAGAGCAGCCAATATAAAAGTTGCTGCTGCTAGAGGCACCGGGTTCTTGTAATGTATGTAGTGGCACGTTAACTGCCAAGTGGATGTTCTGACACAGTTGTTACACAGGGCACTGTAAGCTACTCCCATTGCTTGCTCATCAGCTGCAAAAGGTAGATACACATTTGTGCTTCTGTTTACTCTGTATTTACTCCAACTTATGTCACAAATGTCTGAGTGAGTGTGATCAGCTGACAGACTGATCTGCTTTTCCTGAATGGTTAGCTTTCTTTCAGAGAAATTATTTGAATCAGATTATGGAAGGATTGAATGATCTTCCTGGACTTATGCAAAGCCTTTGACATGGTCTCTCACCACATCCTTCTCTCTAAATTGGAGTGGTAGGGATTTGAAGGATGGACTGTTCAGTGGATTAAGAATTGGTTGGCTGGTTGCAGCCAAAGGGTTGTGATCAATGGTTCTATGTCAGAGTGGAGGCCAGTCACAAGCAGCATTTCTCAGGGGTAGGTTTGGGACCAGTGCTCTTTAACATCTTCATCAGTGACACAGAAGATGGCATTTAGTGCACCCTCAGCAAGTTTGCAGATGACACCAAGCTGAACAGTGTAGTCGATATGTTAGAGAGAAGGGAAGCCATCCAGAGGGACCTGGACAGGCTGGAGAATGAGCCCATGAAAACCTAATGAAATTCAACTAGGCTAAGTGAAAAGTGCTGCACTTGGGCCAGGGCAATCCCAGGTGTTTATACAAACTGGGGGAAGAACTCCTTGAGAGCAGCCCTGCAGAGAAGGACTTGGGGGTCCTGGTAGATGAAAAGCTGGACATCAGCCAGCAGTGTGCAATTGCAGCCCAGAAGGCCGGCTGTGTTCTGGGTTGCATTAAAAGAGGAGTGGCTAGCAGGGAGAGGGAGGTGATTGTTCCCTTCTACTCAGCTCTTGTGAGGCCCCATCTGCAGTACTGCATCCAGGCCTGGGGCCCCCAGCACAAGAAAAATGTGGAATTCTTGGAACGAGTCCAGATGAGGTCCACTAAGATGATCAAAGGGCTGGAGCACCTCTGCTCTGAGGAGAGGTTAAGGGAAGTGGGATTGTTTAGCTTGGAGAAAAGAAGGCTCCAGTGAGACTTCATTTGGTCTTCCAATATTTGAAGGGAGCATATGAACGGGAGGGGATATGATGGTTTACAAGGGTGGATAGTGATAGGACAAAGGGGAATGGTTTTAAACTGAGAGAGGGGAGATTTAAGTTAAATATTAGGAAGAAGTTTTTCACTCAGAGGGTGGTGACGCACTGGAACAGGTTGCCCAAGGAGGTTGTGAATGCCCCATTCCTGGAGGCATTCAAGGCCAGGCTGGATATGGCTCTGGGCAGCCTGGTCTGGTGGTTAGTGACCTTGCACACAGCAGGGGGGTTTGAAACTGGATGATCTTTGAGGTCCTTTTCAACCCAGGTCATTTTATAATTCTATTATTCAGAGCTGTCATGAAGAAGAGGAATGGACTGTGGGAGGATAGTGAGGAAAAGGAAGGGAATTGAGAATCTCCCTTTTGTGACATCAAGCTGTTGTGGCAGCTGCCCCTGGACCAACAGCCTGAAACAGCTGTCACTGTCTGGGAAAACTGCTGTTGCTCTTAGTTTCTGACTTTTACAGTTAATAAATGTGAATGTATTTGTTCTTCATTAAAGCAAAACAAAAACAGCAAAAAACAAACAAACAAAATGCTTATGTTTTCTTTCTTTTTCGTGGGCTTGTAGGGCCAGGAGGATTCAAGTCGAGGTTCTGATAATTCTAGCTACGATGAGGCTTTGTCCCCTACATCTCCAGGACCTCTGTCAGTGAGATCTGGCCATGGAGACAGAGACCTGGCAAACTCTAATATGGCCCCACCTACCCCAGATCTACACGGCATCAACCCTGTATTCCTGTCCAGCAATCCCAGTCGTTGGAGCGTGGAGGAAGTGTATGAGTTCATTGCATCACTGCAAGGTGAATCTGTGGTCCATTCCTGCAGTTCTGTGATCCAATAGCATGGGAAAATTTGTTGACTCTCTTTTTGGAAATCTTTGAGAGTGATACGTCATGCTTTCAAACTGTATATGTTTCTGGAGTAGGTCACGCAAATGGATGAGTTGTACTCCTCTGCGAGTGAGATGGGGAATTGGGACTGACCATGGCTGTTTCTTAGTGCTGTTTCCTTGCTTTCACAGGATGCCAGGAGATTGCCGAAGAGTTTCGGTCACAGGAAATAGATGGCCAGGCCCTGTTGCTTTTGAAGGAGGAACACCTCATGAGTGCTATGAACATCAAGCTAGGACCTGCTCTCAAGATATGTGCCAAGATCAATGTCCTCAAGGAGACCTAACAGCTCTGAAGCTAGCAGTTTCAATTTTGCTCTGACCCCAGAGCAGCTGCCAGCTTTAAGACATTCTGTTGGGGCAAGGAATGGGACAATCCCATGTGGTCCTGCATTCAAGAATGAAAAGGAATTTAACTGCCTGAAACTGCCATGCACAAGCCCATGTCTTGATCTTTGAATGGTGCTATAACAAGGGAGGAAAATTCCCACCTGGGGCCTTTGAAACTTCCTTCCTTCTTTGGATATGCCTCTCCCATATACCACATCAAGAAGAGAAGGAGACTTCCTTCTGTTTTAGCAGCCTTGTAAAGGGGAAGTGCCCTTGCCCCTTTTTGCTGAAGCAGGTTTGCTGGATCTTGGTTATGCTGGAACCTGAGGTACAGGAAATTCCTGCCCTGCATGGTTTTGGGAGCAGCTGTGTGTGGAGTATTTAAAAAGGTCCAAGTGGCAGAGGTGGGTATACAAGAACTAAAACAAAAGGGGCTGTTTCTGTTATAGCCTAGGTATTTTTTTTTAACTGTGTTTAATAGCCATTCCAGCACACATATCAAACTCAAAGGCCCATGGCATTAGGAGCTACCTTCCCTTAGCTTTACTGTCTCCAGTAACGATGCAGATTGAAGACTAGGTTTTTTGGCAGCTATTCGCTCCAGATGCCCATCTTTGAAGCAGAAGAGGATTTATCGTGACAAGCTGATGGGAAAATCTGAGTGGGAGGATGGGTTGTCTTACATTAGAAAACCCTTCACCACTAGGTGTCATGAGTGTGATAAAGTATAGTTTACAGATCCAAAGCAGTCTCCAGAAGTGCCAAGGCTCTTCATATTAAAAAAAAACAAAAACAAAAACAAAACAAAAAAAAAAAAAAAACTTGGAATTTTGGTTCGCATTTTTTGTTAAGTTTGTTTTCTGTTCTTTTATCAGTTTGTATTATTTTTGTCTGTTTTCATTATCCTCAGGAGAGCTTACAAGACAAAGTTTAAGCTGGCAGGATTGTATCACCTGCCTCAGACTTTTTTAAATTGATGTTGTAAAACAAATACTTCTCTTCCCCAGTATATATATATATATATATGTATAAAAACACTCTAACAACTGATTTTTGATTTTTTTTTTTTTTTTTTAATACAATTTCTTCCTAAGGGGTACAGTGATGTTTAGAGGATAATCCCCTGCCACTCAGCTCTCACAGGTTTTGTAAAGATCAAGTTCTGAATTTTTTAGCATTTGCCAAAGATGAAAATGTGCAGTTCTCTTCCAGAAGCACCTTCACTTTTAAAAAAGCAAAAAGAAAACAAAAAACAAACTCTGGAAGAAATTATACAAAGCATGAAGAGGTAAGTGTCCCCTACAGCTGAATACCTGAAAGCAAGACTTTTTCCTAGGCCGTTTGTCTCAGCTTTTTTATTTTCAGAAGTTTCACATGCATATTTGAGTAAAACATGAGACTGTTCTATGTGCAAGGCACCTACTGTTGCAGGAGTGTTGTGGCATGGGTGGAAGCTTAATGGCACAAGAAACCATCAGAGATCTCTATAACAGTCTCTGTATTGACCCACCTCATAAGAAGGGGGGGAGATTCTAAACTGTAGTATCAACTTTCCAGTTCTAACTGAAGTGTTGAGTCTGAATTTATTCTTGATATCTTCATTCCTATGAGAGAAGGATTCTAAGCCTTCTTGAATCAAAATAGACCCAAAGGAAGCCACCAACTCTTGCACCTTGAAAACACTCTTCAGTCCAATGAAATTTGAGGGGACAAAAAAGGCAGAGGTGAGCACCTCTAATGGCAAAGGAGGGCAGCCTTTAAACTATTTTGTTAGCAGGCTGGGTATGGCAAAACTTGTTTACTTTGGCTTTTGACAGGGTAGGCAGGTAGTATTTGCTGCTTTTGAAGCATAGATTAACTTCAGTCACATTTAAAGGTTTCACTTCTTCATGTTACATTCAGTGTTCTTAATAAAAATTGTTCAGGTTTTAAAGGTCTGGCCACTTTTTAAACTGTCTGAACCTGACTGTTCCTGTCAGTCAGACCTTTGAGAAGCAACAACTTTGATTTTCATTCTTACAGAAGAATATAGGGAACTTTTCTCCTTTGTGCATATGCCTGAACTTTGAAAAGTGTGCATATCCTGCCCTTTCAAGGCCCTACACTAACAGAAGAGAGTCCTGGTAGAAGTATGAAGATACTGTATAATAAGGACCCTTGGATAAGAAGGGTGGCCTAACACCAAAGAAAGCTGTTAAGTTACATCAGCACAACACTACAGCAGGGTGTCTGATCATTTTATTTTTGAAAGTTGTTTTGTACAAAAAACAAGTTACCTTAAATACCACCATGAAAAACAGTACCAGCTGGCTTAATGACTTCATTTTTTTCCCATGTTATGAGAAGGACTGAGACCATAATTTCTGCTCTGACTTTTGGTGTTTGCCCACTCATCCCCCAGCAAGAAAACAGGGTCATCTCTTTGCCCCTACTGTCATTGGTTATACTGCTTTGTCAGTATAAAAACCCACAAACCTTATCTGTACCATGCCATTAGCAGTATTCAGCAGTCTGTGCCCTCAAGATCAAAGACTGTTTTCTTCCCATTCTGCCATATTGTAGACGGGAGTGAGGAGCTAGACTAAGCAAAAAGCAATTAAGAATCAAAGTATGCTCCTAAAGGTTCAAATTAAGTCTTGTAACTCAGCTGTACCTGCTTTTCCCAAGTGCCCAAGTGGAAGGCTCTCTTGCTCCAAGCAGTATTCAAGTACCATCTGCACAGGGCAAGTGTCTTAAGACTGGTGTACATGATGTTGAAGGGGACAGCAACTGGGGTCACTCTCAAAACATTTCTGAGTGTGTTAGCATTCTTACTCTTTTTAATAAGAATTGTAGTAGCTTCCCAGGAAAACATTCTGCCAGACAAGGAAGCTTCAGGAAGCATGAGATCACAATTCTGACCATGACTGAGCTGTATAGGCATAAAGCTTCAAGTAAGGCTTCTTAAAGAACTCAAGTGATAGCTGTCTTCAATTTTCTGATTTTGCCTTGATGTCACTTTCACATTCAGAAAGCATTCCCTTCATTTAGGAGACCATAATTTTTTTTTTTGCTCTTCTGTGATGGAGAAGACAGTATTTTGACGGAACTCAAAAGTAGTGAAACAGCATTTAACTCGGTTCTTTTTAGCATTGCCCCTCTCGTCTGAGAGGATGGCATGCATCCTTTTACACCTCTTGAAGGAAACAGGTGTCTATTTTTCAACACATTGGCATTAGAAAAAAGACTAGAGGGGTGCTAATGCCTCTTCCAACTCCAGTGAGTCCAGCATAGAGCTTTTCATGCAAGTTATGCTGACAAAGACTGTGTGCAACAGTGCAGGTGCTAGAAAAGCCAAAAATGCATTTAAAGGAAAAAAAAAAGTGTCTAACAGATTTTGTAAATCCTAGGAAAAAAAAATACATTAGAAGACCCCTCTGCTACAGTCTCAGTTTTTTAAATGGAGACTTCCCTTTCTGCATGCATTCACAGCCCTTTCTTCCTCTCAATGAAGAAACTCCCTTTCCTTCTCAGTGCTGATCATTCACATTGTTTTCTTGCTGTCTTATCAACTCTCAGCACTTGCTCCCCATAGCTTTGCTGCTTTACTGCATTTTTTTGGAAAAAAAAAAAAAAAAAAAACAGAACAGCATTACAGCAATGAGGCATGCCATTGGGGACCAGTGCTGTTCACACCTAGAGGCATCCATGAGACTTGACACACCAGACAGGCAAAGCGTATCATGTAAAGAAAAATCAGAAGAGAGAAGAGCTGGCTGGGGGGAAATGGGGAGAAGTGTTGAAAGCCTATCACATTGGTAGCAAGTGGTCATCCCGTTCCTCTGACTCATCACCCAGCTGGTCATCACCCACACCACGGTATGTAGCTGGTACATTTCGAGGCTTAGATCGGCAGACAAAGTCACAGCCATCCTACAAGCACAAGTTGTTACATTAGAATCAGACTGTATGCAGAATCAGCAGCCACACAAAGCAAAACATATTCAATTTTGCTACACGAACATGTCTACCCCAGTGCTATCTGAGGGCAAGACCACAGAACCTAGGCTGATAAGAGGAGCATACAAAGGGATATCCTAGCTTATCCTGAAACTTAAGTCAGGTCTGGGGTAGAATGTGGTACTGATTAAGTGGGCAACACAGACATTCAGAGAATAAACAACACTACTTAAGGTGATCAAGCAAGGGTTTCACATAATCAGGCCTGAACATTCTACAATTCCCAGCTGAACATTCCTACCTGAAAAGTCTTAATCATAATGAGCAGTAGGGAACCAGCTGCATCAAGGAATTAAAAACAGTGTTCCCCTTACCTAGAATAAGATAGATATCTTCTTTTCCCACAGGGTACACTGTGGCAGGTCTATCCAAGAAACAGTCTATGAAGACAGTGCAGGTGCCTTTTTATTATGTCTTAACACGTGGGCTTAGACTGGGAACATAAAAGGATTTCCACTCACCGCAACCAAATTGCCCAAATCTTGCCAGAAGGCAAAGTGAGGGAACTGCTCCATGCCCTTTGCTCCCACTATAAGGCGCTGGTAGAGAAACCCACCAATGATATAGACTGCGATTACTGAGGAAAACCTAGAGGGCAGAATTAAAAAATCAGAACAGCAAAATTATACAAGTAGTCTCTTATAACCCAGTTATACTTGCCTCAGTTTGGCACCGGAGCAAGTAGCTGAACATCACCTAAGAAAAGAGTTGAAGAAAGACCATACCAGAAAAGGTCAAAAACATATAGATCTGCTAGAAAAATTTTTCAGGACATCTGCGTGAAGCAGATCTCCAAAGCACAAAGACAGAAAATGAGAAGTCAAGACTCCTAGTCTGAATTTCCAACTGTGGCAAAGAGCTGTTGTACAATTCCAGGAAGTCACACACTCCATGTTTAAGTGCACTGATCTGTAAGCTATGAAGGGAACAAAGCAGCTCTGCAGCATTATGTCTTAACCTAGAATTTGTCTACAAAGCTTGGAGCCACAGTAACGTCTAACAGTGACTGAATACAATTATCTAGACTAGTATAACATCTTCCAACAACTCACGTGATTAGTAGAATGGAGCCAGTGCTGAGGTGAGAATCCTCAGCTGGACAAGCCACACTGCTGTCCATCTCAAAGAGGTAGAAACAGTCCTGCTCCTTTTCCCTCTCTTCTGAAATAATGCTGAATGAACTCTGCAATTTGGGAAAAGTTATGTGAAAATACACCCAGGCTTATACTAAACTTCACCAGAAGATAGTTTTAGCTCTATTGGTACAGGGGAACAACCCATAGAGAATGTAAGAAAACATTACTGCACCCTCAAGGCCTTTCTGCTTATAAACAAGCTTTCTCTGACAGCCTCCTGTTCCTGTCCTACCTCATATTGTCACTCACCGCTGTAATTCCTCGCTTGCAAGAAATCATTATCACAGCTCTTCTCTTCTCACCACTGCAGTGCCTACCATATGAATCACCTCCTTTATAAATCAGCATGATCCAGTCACCTGTGAAGAGAGAAAGAATATAGGCTGCAAATCCAGACCAGGAGGCAAAAGCTAGATAAGAAGTAAGAGTGTTACTGAGTAGTCTTACTTCCATTGAAGACCTGGGTTTCATTGATTCTTCCTATTACTGTAGTCTTTCCAGACTGCCTATCCATTTGTACTACGCCAGCAAAATCATGCAAGCTGCTGTTGACCTCTCTGCATACCCTGAAATGGTAGGCATAGTTTTCAGTTGTGCCAATCTCCACAGTCGTGTTAAATCTGCAGCAGAGAGAGAATAGAAGACAAGCAAACAGAATTACAATGAGTTGAGTTCAAAGCAATTGACACTCAAGACCTGGGAAGCCAGGTCACAGCTCACGCTAACGACAGAGCCCACCCTAAAGCCTGGCCCTAAATTCTTCCACCCAATTGACCCATTAAGTGTAAACACTGTGCACTGGACCCTAAGGTCCACAGCAAGTCAATACTGCTTGTATCATACCTTATTTGACTCAGTGGTTCTAGTTTCTTCAGCAGGGCTTTTTCCATTTGTGACTCAGTACTCTCATCACCAATCACATCACAGCTCTTCTCAGTCAGCGGTTCAGCTCCCACACCAACAGCAAGGGCCATAAAGACTACCAGCACAGCAGAGGTATGGGAATGTGATGACATCCTGGATACATATCACAAAGAACACATGGGATTAACCATCTCAGCCCTCTACAGGCTAACTACATGAAGGCACTTACTGACCATTCCCTCAATCTTGACTACAAAAAGAAGTAAAAAAACCTATGAACACCTCTCAGTTCTCAACAGACACTACAATCTCTTATACTGAAAAACAAACCAGGCCTCTTTGGGATTCTTTTATGAATTTTGACTTAGAACCACAAAAAGTTTTGCTGCTGAGCATGTTAACCAATTTTGATTCAGCCAAAACAGAGCCTAGCAGGCTGAATGCTGGTGTAAGTATCAGGCACAAGCTACTGTTCATTATCACATCCTACTGAGAAGCCAGTCAGCAAATAATAATTTACCAGGCCTCTAATCAAGTCTTTCTGCAGCTTCTGTATAAAGAGCTTGCAGTGAAGAGCCACTGTGACTTTGTCAGGCTCTGTCTGCTCAAGCTCCTTAATCCTAATAATTACGTTATCCTCCAGGACTACTTCAGCTGAGAATCTGAAAGCATTCAGTAGTACTCAGCTGCAACACCACAGAACAGTTTTCATGAACTGAAAAAGGAAATCGAAACATCCTATGATTAATCCAAGAGAAGGGGAGTAACAAAGGCAAGTGGGCATGGGGGCAATGGGTTGACGGTTGGACTAGATGATCTTATTAGTCTTTTCCAATCTTAATGATTCCATGAAGTCTTGAACTTTCAGCCTTCAGGCTTATGCTAAAATAGCACGTAAATCACTCTGCAACTGCACCAGGACAGATTTCCCCTTTGCTTCTCCTAGTGAGTATGTCAGTTCCAGATGCTGGGAACAAACGAACCACAGTTTCATAAGTTCCTCACTGCAACTAGACTGGCAGGCTATTTGGTGGAACGTCATCTCTGCCCCTCAGCTCATCCTGTCAAGCAACATCTTCTGAGCTACTTGTTATCACCATGGAGATAAACATAAGTATGGAGAGGCTAGATACATTCAAAGGTTGGATACACCACACTGCTAAGGCCCGGGACACAAGAACTCGTGATTCTCTCCTCACGAGACAAAAGAAGAACTCGCTACTAGAACACACTTCCTCGGGCAACCTCTCCGCAAACGCCTCCTTTGCATAGACGCAGGAGGAAGAAACCGCACGGCATTGCTGTCGGCTTCTGCCAGCTAGCCACCGCACAGGCTGACGAACCAGGCCTGAGTGGCAGCTGTCCGGAACCACCTGCTCACAGCTGGGCAGAGTCAGCCCGGGGCAGCCCGCCGCCTCGTCCCCGCCGCCCCGTGCCCACTGCGTAAGTACGCAGTAGAAAGCCGGGCTCGCTTTCCGCCACACCTACCTGCTGCCGCGCACGGTCCTCTCCGTCCGCACCACGGCTCGACGGAGAAGCGGGAGCTGCTCAGGGTCAGGCCATGGTCGGCGGGCAGGGGCAGAGCCCAAGGGCCATTGCGACGGCCATGTCCGCCTCACTACCCTCGCCCGCCCCATGAACCGGAAATAGGAAGAGCATGACAAAAACTAATGCGCCGTGCCGCGCCGCCCAAGAAAATCTCGGCCATAGGCATGCCTATAGCCTCTCTTTAACCAATCAGAAGCGGAGACAGAAAGGGGCGGCTTTCAAACCCCGCCCCAGCCTATAAGTGGAGCTATTGCGGAGCCCGCCTTCTTTCTCCATCCAATAGTCGAGAGAGAAAGGTTCCGACGTTACTACCCCCTTCGCTTCCCTTCTCACGGACGTAGAAGGAAGTCTGCCTGGTAGTACCCTGCGGTTACCCTCTGCGGCGGAAAAGCGCGGCTGGAGGCGGGAATGGCTCGTCCGACGGTAGCGAAGCACGCATGGTGGGCCGCCACGAGGCCGTGCCGCGGGGTGTGCGTAGTGGGCCGCCTGGGTCCGGGTGGGCGGTACTCGGAGGGTTCGCCCCATAGCAGCTCTCATCATCTGGAGCTGAACGTCATCAACGTTCTTCATATGGGCTGTGCTTCTGAATAAGAGCGTCTCCTACAGCCTCTGCATGTTCTGTGTCACTGTAGAGGAGTTCCAGCTGCTCACGGGTGAGGTTGGTCCTGAATGCGATTAATAAAGCTTTACTTGATCTGAGACTGGCCTACTTAAGTGACGTTTACCCCAACTGCGATGGTGACAGCCCAATTTCTAGTGCTCTGTGTTTTAATTTTTTAGAAGAGATGGGATAACTGGGCCTTGTGTGTCTTTTAGTAAGAAGGAAATGCAGGTTCTAATGACTGTAAGCATGCTAAAGAAGTCCCTGGTTTGGGAGGAGACTTTTGTGTGACATACTTGTTGAGCAGAGAAGAACTGGGCAGGAGCATTGCATGTGTCCTGGAAAGCTGATTGATTGAGTCTGACAGCTTGTACCATACTGCTGATTCTACCGGGAGCGTGGCACAGGCATCTGCATAAGCTGCGTGAAATTTATTTACACGCACAGTTAGCTATTAACTGTGTTGTCTGTGTATCTGTCAGTTTTCTGTGTCCAAACTAAGGACTCTACTGCTGATATTTGAGAGAAAATTAAAAAAAAAAAAAAAATCAAACAGAGCTCTTAATTGTTTCCCACCAACTTTCACTTTTCCACAGGTAACATCTTCCTTTTCCTAATTCCTTTTCAACTGTTGGTCATGGCCTTCCCTCCTTAGTCTGGGTATTTAAGCAGTATCTGAATTTTGTTGATTTCTTTCCAGCCGCACTTTATGTTCCCAACTAAGCTCTCAAAATGACTATAGCAGTTTTTTCCCTTACTGAGTTTGACAACCATTCCTACACTTCTCTAATTTCCACTGAAATTGTTCAGGAAAGACATCCCTTCTCCTGTGTTGCTCTGATGTCTGAAAGACCGAGGTTGACTGGGACCCTTGGAGGTTACCTGATCACTCTACTGAGGCAAGGGCCACCTAGAGTGGGTACACTAGGTATCCAAGTGGCTTTTGAAGATCTCCAAAAAGGAGACCCCACTGTATCTCTGCCTGTGCTCCATCACTCCCACATCTCAGAAGTGCTTTCCAGTGTTCAGAGGGAACCTCTTGTGCTCCAGTTTGTGCCAGTTCCCTCTGATCATGGCACTGGGCACCATTGAGAAGAGTCTGGCTCCATTTTCTCTGTACCTTCTTCTCAGGTGTTTATATACAGTAATGAGATCCTTCTGAGCCTTTTCTTTACTAGTCTGAACAGTCCCAGCTCTCTCACTCTCTCATCATGTGTGAGATGCTTCTTAGTCATAGTGCTCAGTGGTCCTTTGCTGGACTCTCTTCACTAGCTCAATTTCTCTCTTGTTACTGACGCTGTTGAGAAGCTGACTGTTGGGGATGTTGAGATGGCAGCTCTCAGTGCCTGCCTGTTTCTCAAGCATGTTTGTACTGGGTGTTGAATATAGAAAAAGATTTCTGTAAGTGTCCCAAAGCTCACAAGACTTTTTTTTTTTCAAACCTGTGCTGTACATCTATTGAAAACTGACTCTAAAAACTGAGCTAACATTGTAATAGGCATTTGAACAAGGAACTCTGGGCTAGTGGTGTGTTTAAGTATCAGAAGAATAAACAATTAGTATCCTTTAACCAGGGGTGTCACAAAATCAGCAGACCATGAGAAAGACGTTAATCAGGATGGTTTGAGGATGTTGCCAGCTTGGCAAGAAAACTCAAGGTCTGTGTATGCTCAGCTGAACTACCTTCATTATAATGTTAAAAGTCACACTCATAGATTGAAAAGACCCCTGCCCAGGTGCATGCATAGTAGAGGAAGTATACAGTCAACAATATTATTATTATATAAAAATTACTAACCAGTCATCACAAAGAGGATGGGCTGGAAAAATTATTAGCTTTGCGAGTTTTGTGTATAACTATAGTGGTGGTAGTTCTGTTTGGTGTGTTTGATTTGTGGGAAACCATCCAGCATCTAGGCTTGCACAAATCTGGAATAAATAAAGAATGTCTCTCCTGAATGTGTGATTACTGACCTCGCACATCAGGCTGTTAATCTGTTTTTTGAACAACACCTCTACTTCCCTTTTGACAGCACTTGGGCTTCTGTCCCAGTGGTCTTTTTAGTCTTGTACTGTACCTATCCATCTGCTTCTGTCTTGAGAGGGAGCACTTCAGACCTGCACACTCTCACAATTACTGCTGCGATGCAATTAAGGCCTGTTGCATTCGCAAGCAATGAGCATGAATTTTGCAAGTAATAATCTCTTCCACTCATGCTGTTTTTAAGATATTCCTTGTCAGCGTAAGAAATGTTCTATCTCCAACACTCCCCATATTGGTATAAATTGAGTTATTTTGCACAGCTTTCCAACTTTACGTTTTTTGTCTTCTGAATGTAGCCTCAAGTTTCCTGTTTCACAGGCACTCAGCACTCAGCAGCCTGATTGCAACATCTTGTCATGCACTCTTTGCTTTGCTGTGTGGGAAAGCAGATTGGAGACTTCTTCAGCAGAAGCAAGTGTGGAAATAATCTTTATTGTCAAATTCTCCCCTACTACTTCTCAAAAAGACAAAACTAGACAGGAAAGGAGAGGTAAGGAAGCTGGGTTTTACTTCTAGCAAAAGTGAGATCTAATGAAAACATTAAAGCGGATGAGTCAGTGACCTGGTGAATGTTCCCCTCTCTCCCTTCCTACTTTCACTACTCCTCTCCCTTCATTCCTCATTCTGTCAAGCCCTTTTCAGTGTCTACTATTGAGCATTTAATCCCCTTTCTTCAGAAGAGGCTTGCACTTTTCAAGTTGTCAGCAGCAGTAAGAAATTGTCATCAATAACTCTTCGAATGGCAGATGAGATGTGAGTAAGTAATAAATTAGAGGCATTTACTAATTAGAAATCAGAGACAGAAGAGGTCTATGAGATCGTCTAGTCTTTCTCTGTTGTGTGTCTGTGTAATTCTTCTGATAAGCTTCTTCCTGCGTTGTCTCTCTTCTAGTTTTACATACTTCCCAATAAGCAATTTTCCAGCTTGAAACAGTCCTGTAGGATAGTTTATTATCAGGAAGATTTTGTTAGTGCTTTCCTTACATTTCTGCTCCATTCTCTCTGTTTAGGCCTAGCAAATGTCACACTGAACAATTTCTCTTAGTTGAGAAATCTCACCTTGGAAGAGTGAGATATTTTGCATTGATGGTCATCTTTTTATAAACGTTTCCTTCTCCTGAGCTGATTGCTTTTCCTGTAAATGTTTATGTGTTTAAGCAAACTACTAGCTGACCTTAGCTATTTTTTCAGAGCTGTTACAGCAAAGAGGACTCTTTGGGATAGTAGATGTCTGTGCCCTGCTCAGAATATTTGTGTATGTATGTGGTTGGCACAGAACCCCCAGAGTTTGTATCCAACAATCTCACTCCATTGACTTGGGAGGCAATCTTGTGTTTGCAGATGCTTTCATCAGAAAACACATCTTCAAATGCATCAGAAAATGCAGGGGCATCATTTAATTCTCCACTGTTTGTGTTCATCCCAATCCTGCTAGAGATGGGAATTTCAGGATGCTGCGTTGGGATGTTTGCAGTTTTCCTTTTAATACTCCTCCTATCCAAATTGCTTAGGCATTTTTTTTTTGTGTGTGTGTGTTAAAATCAAGAGCCTGAAAGAGCTGATATTTTAACAGAATTTCTATGCCTATTATTTATTTCTCAGCTCTCTTCTGCATGCAGGAAGTCCCTAAGGAGAGCAGTTTAAGTAACTTTCTTTAGAAGACCTTTGTTTTCAAAACATGCTCCACTCCTCCATCTCCCTGCCCCCATCACTTTTGAGAGATGTGCTCTCACGTTTTTATTTCTGTTTTCAAATGCACTAAATCATTTCTGTGACCAGTATCATAGGTGTATCACAGGTACATAGATCAGTCCTCTGGTCAACCAGCTGGTATTTTCTCACATGGGCTCTCCAAAAATGAGTAGCTATACTAGCTGTGTCCTTTCTGGCTGTTGGAGAGCCTGAAATATTCTACACTACACCAAAATACAAGTCCTGTGGTCACTTAAAACAGTGTTAGACTGTGTGACATGCTTGTAGTAACAGCGAGTTACCAGGTTTGTGCCATATGATGGGGTTCTTGTTTCTCCCATCCTCTACTCCCCCTGGTTTCACATAGATAAATTGCCCCCATACTGACACAGGTACCAGCTGAGGGAATTTATCTGGGACAGTGCAATGAAATTCTTAGGATGGTCCTAGAAGACTTGAATTATAAAATGCTAGCAACTTTCAGTTTTTTAACCAAATCTAAACTCCCCGACCTAAATATAGTGGGTTACAATGCTTGCAGATGAATGCTGTTATATCACAGTAATCATATCAGAGCTCTGATAGAACTAAATGGGATATATATATATATATATATATATATTTTTTTTTGGTACTAGCAAGCTATAACATTGGATATTTACATTAAATATCCACCAGGAATCCTCTCCTTATGCTTTGGGAATCTTTTCCACAGTTCCCCAAATGACAACATGCAAATATGTCTGGGTGCTCCACTCAGATATCCTTCCTCTTTTCAAGCTCATCTCATAGGTACTTTGCTCTCAGTTTTCTACAAGGGCTTCTTCATGTGGTACTCCCAATGGTTGAGAACCAAGAAGAAACTCGTGAACCTGTCTTAGGAAGAGGGAATGCAAGTAATAATAGTCTTGATTTATGAATTTTTTTATTTCACTTCCCTGAGTTGATCATTGCAACTCAAGTGAGGCTCAAATTAAGGTTGAACACTTCAGTATAAATTTGCCTCCTTCACTTTCTTTTTTTCCTCCACAAAATTATTTAATGGTATAGTTTTTTAGTTTTTTTGTTTTGTTTTAAAAACTGAAGAGAACTCTCCCACTGCTCTGGTTTGTAGAGGTGCTCTGAGATTTTTAGTGCTAATTTGCTGAATAAGTTTTTTTTCTTTTTTTCTGTAGTTGCTTTGAAACAATAGAGTGAACTGCTCTACTTCTTGCCAGTAGGTACCAGCTCAGATGGCATTTAAGAATTAACTGTTTCACTGACATTCCTATAGCCTTCTCCTGGGAGCAGTTTCCCCTAAAAGCAGGAGCCTGAAGAATGCAAGAGATGCTTACTTTCAGAGGCAACAGGAGAATAAAAACACAGGTACAAATAATTTTTTCTGAGCATGTGGTCTCAGGACAATTGTGTTTCAACAGATACTTATCCTCTTGTTTATTTTTCAGTTATAAAATTGCCCAGGTAAGTTGTAAAGTCTCTCTTCTTGGAGGTCTTCAAAAGCTGCCTGGGTGTGGTCCTAGGCAAACTGCTTTGGATGTCCCTGCTTGAGCAAGGTTTGGACCAGATGGACTCACACCTTTACCTGTCTTGGATTCTGTGATCTGCAGAGAACATCTACACCGCCTTTAAGTACAGTTGATTCTATTCACTTGAGGCTCAATTTGATTATTTGATTGATTAAAAGTATGTCACTAGAGATGCGAAGGTGACTTTACAAGAGCAAGCAGACACAGAGAACAGCTGCAGAGTTCAAGTTCTTCGGTTCTCCCACTGTTCTCCCATGTGCAAAGGTGAGAGTCATTCTATATGACGTAACAGGAAATATATATGGTTTTATCTTTATCTTTTAATCTATGAGTGAGGCAGCTAGAAGATTCTGCAAGTCCATGTAATCAAAAATAGGATAGAATAGCTCAGTTGGAAGGGAACTTCAAAGATCGCCTAGTTCAACTGTTCCAGACTGACTGGCTTCTAGAAATGCTACAGAACCTTTGCCTTAGGAAAGATCTTTCTATCAGGAAGATAGTGCTTAGAATTAAACTCCGTCACATTGTACCTTGTTTCTCTTGAAGTTTTTTAAGCCAAAACCACAGGTCTAAATGTAATGCTATAAAACAGAAACAAGTTTTAAAACAACTGACTCTGAAAACCTCTCTAAGAATAAAAATAGATTAATAGAAACAGATCACCTCAGATGGCTCTGAGTACAAAACATTGGAATGAACTGTCATGAGTGGAAACATTTCCCTGAGAATGGCCAATAGCTAACTTCCAGGGGAAGATCTTAGTAGCAGGCTAAATATGTAGCAATAGGTCCCTACAATAATCTCTTTCTCTTCCTAAAATTTCACATTTATTTGCCAGAGTTCATGATCTGGTCTATTGTCTTTATTTGAACTAAGCTTTCAATTCTCAAAGCTGGTATTCTTGTTTTTAAGTTGAGCCCCTTCCCCTTCTGTTTTAGCACTGACTTTCTTTTGTGCTTTCATAGTATTCTTGATATATCATATGTGTTTGTTTTCATCCTCTAGCGAGGGATCCTAAAATAGTCTCTCCTAATGAAGTTTTCCCTAAAGAACAAGTATTTTGTTCCTTTAGCCATGCCTTTTAATTTCTCTTTGAAAAACTTCCTCATTTGCCCGTAGCTTTCTCTTTTGAAGTTGTTACATCATTGTGCTTCCATCACCTGCCCTTCCACTCCCCTCTTTCTGCTGAAACTCTGTATATTTGTGGTCAGTGTGACAGAGAAGCTGCTGGATTGAATTGTGCTAAGCCAGGGCCTGTACACAGTTCACAGCAGTCACAAGCTGATCCTATTTCCATGTGTTTCCTGACTTGCCACTCTTGAGCTGGTTTGCTAATACGTGATTGCTTTCACAATCCTCATCTTACAGTCTGTAATATAATTCTGTTCCTGTGTATTTAGTAGTATTTGCCCAGTCTGTGAGGTTCCTGTTACTACTACATATTAATGCAGTTCATTTAATAACCTACCTTGATCTTAATTTTAATTGGATGGAGAATAGCCTTCTCAGTCTTCCCTATGTATTTTGTATCCCATTGTTCTGATATCCTACTCGTAGCCCATCTCCAACCAAGTCTCTGATGTGCTTGTTGTGGCAGTGTATTTGGTATTCTCCTTCCTCCATTTTATTCCCTAGACTTCTAGTATATATATATATATATATATATTTTATAATATATTTCTTTGGGTTTTGTGACACAATCCATAGAGAAGCGCCTGAGATTTCATGAGTTCTACTGGAGACTTTGCAGTTCCAGGAGGATCTGCTCCATGATCTTCCCAAGCACAGAGGTAAGGCTTGTTGGCCTGTAGTTTTCTGGGTCTTCCTTTCTTAAAAATGGGAGTAATGTTTCCCTTTTTCTAGTCACTGAGGGTTTCACCCAGCAGATATGATTTTTCAAACATGATGGAGAGCTGCTCAGCAATCACATCAGCTATCTCTTTCAGAACCCTAGGATGGATATCGTCTGCACCCATGGACTTACAAACATTCAGTTTCATGAGGTTTTGGACGTGTTCCACTGTTACAGTGGGATGGAATCCTCTCCCCACACCTTCACCTAAAGGTTCAGGACCCTGGCAGACATGGGAAACCTGACCACCAGCGAAGACTGAGGCAAAGCAGTCATTGAGTAGCTCAGCTTTTTCTATGTCTGAGGAAGCCAGCTCTCCATTGCCTTTAATCAGAGGCGGGATTTGCTTTTAGACTGGCAAATGTTACTTCAGTGGAAGAGTGTTTTCAAGCAATAAACTACACTGCACCACAGCATAACCTCACTAACACAGACATGTATTATAATCATACAAGCAGTGCTTCCTTTAATCACATCTGCATGATTCTCCCTTGGGGATGGTTCTTTCTTTGTGGAACAGAGTAACATATTCATACTTATCTGTAAATACCACTGCTACGTATCAATGAAGGGGAAGAAGCTGAATTTTTTTTTTAGATGAAGTCTGTGAAATGTAGAATGCACTGGAACAAAAAAATTGCTAAGGAAATAAAAGCACTATACTTATTATGTAGGAGAGGTGTGTAGCATAACATAGAAGGGAAACATTATAAGTAGCTCAGAGAGATAGATGATTTAGGTCCTGTAGCAGAACAAACATGGAGGAGGGCTCCAAGGACTGCCTTTTAAGGCAGACAGTAAGACCCAGTAATTGTGAAAGTGCCAATCATGGAAAGGATTGGCAGGAGCATATAGAGAGGATGCAGATGAGGGAGCTTAGGTAATGGTAGCTATTATTAGGATTCAGTATCCAGACTGGAATGATTTACTTTGTTGACATATCAGAAAAGAAATTTTGGCAAGTGCGAAGGAAGAAGCAGAAAGAACTCCTGCTCACTGAGACAGCTGTAAACATACCACACTAAGAACCATAGCTCTTCCCTCCTGTAATCATACCTAATGGTAATCATGTTGAAATGCCTTTGTGTGAGGGACTGACTGTAATGATAAGGTTAACCACTTGTAGTGTGTGAAAGCAGCAGTACTCCCAACCTCACTAATAGATGTACCTGTGATGAGCACCTGTAGCCACAAAGCTCAGCACTTTGGCGTGCATGCTTGCCAAAACCATTAATGTTACTTCGCAAGCTAGTGGTTCCGTTGACCATTGCCTGTTAGTAGCACAAGAACTTAGTTGATTAGTTTCTGCATGGAAAAGTTACCTGTGCATTTAGCAACTCAGATGACTCCTTACAAGCTGTGAAGGTGCATAAACCTTCAAATCTGAAGAACTTGGGGTTACTGGTGGATGGGGGAAGCTAAATCTGAGCCAGCAATGTGCCCCCACTTTGCCCAGGAAGTCAACAATATCCTGGGCTGCATCAAAAGAAGCGTGGCCAGTAGGTTGAGGGAGGTGATCCTCCTCCTGTATTCACCATGTGCTGGTGAGGCCTCATCTGGAGTACTGCATCCAGATGTGGAGTCCTCAGGAGAGACATAGACCCATTGGAGCATGTGCAGAGGAGCATCACAAAAATGAACCAAAGGATGGAATGCCTCTCCTACAAGGTCAGGCTGAAAGACCTGAGGCTGTCAGTGTCTAAAGGGGAGCTACAGGAAAGAAGGGGGCTGACTCTTTAGTAGGGTCTGTGGTGATAGGACAAGGGGAAATGGTTTCAAACTTAGAAGAAGAAGAAAGAAGAAGGGCAAATCCTCAGAACGTCACAGAATCCACAGTGGTGACTTACTTTTCTCTCATTTTTTCTCTCCTTTTCTTCTCTTTTTCCTTGCTTACTCATCTTTTAATAAATAAAGCTACATTTATCGATCAACATCTTGACTTGATTCTGAGTCTTAATTCAGAAACTTTGGGATTAACGGAACAAACTGCAAGCCACTTCAGCTTGCAAAAGCCAGCATGAGTGCATGTGACTCATATACAGAGGTTTGGAAATTGCATGGAGTGTCAGAAATCCTGTGTTCATGCATTTGTGTTTTTAGATGTTTATCTTGACTTGTAATTTCTTCATTCCGTCTATCCAGGAGAACTGTTTTACAGTAGGTTCTTGCTTGCAAGTGCTCTTCTGTTGATTAATAGTAGAGAAATCTGGTATTTTTACAGGTGACTTCCACCCACACTGTCCTGAGCAATGAATAGTCTACAGAGGGAGCTGTTACTTCTTTTCCAAAAGGAGCAGGATTTGCATTCCAGCCAGGAATCGTGCTGAGCACAGGGAGCTTATCTCTTGTAATGGTTTTTATGTTCTTTGAGGATCTTGTGTTACCTTGCAGTTACTTGGCCTAGTGGCTGGCAACCCTGCTTATGGCAGGGGGGTTGGTACTTGATGGTCTTTGAGGTTTCTTCCAGCCCTAGCTGTTCTGTGATTCTATGATTTATGACTGCAACATTGTATTGCACCTGCAGTTTCCCAGTGGTCAAATGAGCAGAAGGGAGAATGCAAGTCAAAGAAATACAATTACTTGCATTATTATTATTGAGTTAGCCAAGAACGCGTTTCCCTCTACACCTTTGGAGTTTTGTACTTCAAAGAGAGGAAACAGTGGACAAATACCTGCTGCTAGGAGATTTCAGGTGAAATAGAATAGACATGGTAAGACAGGGTAGCATAGAAAAAGCAAATTGCAAATTTTGGGACAACAGGCAACTGGAAAACTTTTTTTCACCCAGAGATTTTGTTCCAATAAGGGAAGAGAAATTTTGCTAATTTCCAGATTATCATATTTCTCCTGACACAAGTGTACTTGTGTCAGACTCCAATATCAGTTTATCCCTTAGTCTGGGATTGCAGTTTATGTATAGTCAGAGCAGTTACTTGCAGTTGTAAGTGTGGAGGACTGGTAGAAATGAAGAGATAATAAAAGCAAAGAACCACAGCATGGTGCTTGGGAGGAAGGTCTGGAGAGAAAGTAATTGACCCAAGTACTGGAGGTTTCATCTGAAAATATTAGATCAAGGGTTCAGTAGGTTGACGGCAAATAAGTTGGTAGTGATTGTTGATGGGATTGTTACTGCTGTGCCGCATGTAAATAAGCACTACAAAAAACTTTGATATACAGAAAATGGAAACAAGATCTTGCTTCCAAAAAGAAAGTTACTGTGTCCGTCCAATAATTTTATTTTAAAATAATTGAAATTGTTTTTGTATTACCTGGTTGAAAGAAGCAGCTTAATGCAGTTTTAAGGAATCCAGTTGCAGTTTCAACACAGCAGGAAATCTCTGATGTTATTTACAGAATGACTTCAGTTACATATTTCTGAGTATGTGAGGCTTGACATTCATAGAGGATGATATATATGGAGAATTAAGGGCAAATTAACATGAAAATATAGACCTTGGTATACCCAGGTAAGGGGATGTCTGCCAAGACACGTATAGAGTTCACAGAGAAGAGGGAATTAAGTTGGGATTATTCCCAGCAAGAGTAGGTCTGCTTTTCAGTAACCACACCTGTAACAGTCAGACCTAGCGAAAATGGAGGAAAACAATAGTATTTTAAGTAGTGTAGTAGAGCGTAAAAACCTGGAGATCCAATAAAAAAAACCTGGAAATCCAATCATCTTGGATTTTCCAGGTTACTTTGGGTGAGTGATTTTGTCAATACTAGAGACTGTTCAACTATCAAAGGAAGATCCTGTTAGTAGCTCAGAAAGTTGAAAAGACTTAAGAAATAATGCCAGACACTTTGCCTGCATTGTCAAAATGTTAGTAGCCTTTTCGGAAGAAAATCTAACAGTTTACCAGAGAACCCTGGTAAAGAATTAGCAGATATTGGTATTAGAGTAGGCGAAGTTAGCATGCCTCTGAGCTTGCCTAGTTTACCATGTGAAGAATGCAAGAGCTTCGCCTTCCCTAGGATTTTGCAGTGCAGTGCATGCTAGACTGTTTTATTTACCAGCTCTTCAAACATAACCTCTCAATCTTATCCCAGATAAATGCCTAGGAAATGTAAAACAAGTAAATGCATCAGGTTGCTTCAAAAGTGGACCATTCTTCTAAAGGAAGGGATTTTCTGTTATTCCCTTATGAGGAAGATGCTCCATTCCCTTTATCATCTTTGTGGCTCTGCACCTCTCTCAAGCAGTTCCCTGTCCTTCTTGGACTGAGGGGCCAAGAACTGAACACAGTATTGCAGATGAGATCTCACCAAGGCAGAGTATAGAGGGAGGAGAACCTCTTTCAACCTACACACCCCTCCTAATACACTGGAGGATGGCATTGGCCTTCTTGGCCACAAGGGCACAGAACTGACTCACGGTCATGCCCAGGTCTCTTTCCCCTTTGCTGCTCTCCAGCAGGTCAGTCCCCAGCCTGTACTGTAGGCTCTCCTCTTCCACTTGAGTTTGCCCAGCAGTTCTCTGTTTAACCACGCAGGTCTCCTGGCTCCCTTTTTTGACTTCCTACCTGTTGGGACGCTCTGATCTTGAGCATGGAAGAAGCACTCCTTAAATGCTAGCCAACTATATTGGGCCCCTTTACCTTCAAGTACCCCGTTCCATGGGATTTTCCCTAGCAATTGATTGAAAAGGCCATAGTTGGCCTACTGAAGTCCAGGGTTGTGATTCTGCTTGGTATTCTGTTCCTGCCACATGAAATCCTGAACTCCACCATCTCATGGTTGCTGCAATGAAGGCTGCCCTCACTGCTTCAGCCAGATCCCCCTTGTTAGTGAAGTTGTCCTCGATACTGTTAATTCCAGGGTCGTGGGTTTGAGCCCTACACTGAGTGCCAAAATAGTGTTGGAGTTTGAAGAGTTAATCATGTGACGCCCTTCCCTCCCCACTGAAGAGAAAGAAAGGGAAAATCGTGACTGAAATAGGAGAATCTAATTTTTGAGGCCTCTGTAGATCAACGAGGAACTCTGGACTTACTTAAGCATAAAAAGAAAGTCTGTAGGGAGTTGAAAGCAGGAAGGGAATGGGTTACCTGGGAGGCAGACTTACAAAGAAGTTGTCTGAGCAACCAGGGATCAAGTTAGGAAAGCTAAAACCCAGATAAAGTTAAAGCTAGCCGGGGATGTAAAGGGCGAACAAGAAGAAACTCTACAGATATATCAGTGATAAAATGAAGGCCAGGGAAGATATTGGTCTTCTCTGTAAGGAAACTGGAGCCCTGGTCACGAGAGATATGGAGAAAGAAAGCTGAAGTGCTCCATGACTTCTTTGCCTCAGTCTTCACAAGCAAGGTCTATAGCTACATTGTCCAAGATGCAAAAAGCAAAGGTAAGAACTTGGAGAAGGAAGATCTGCCTGCTCTAAATGAAGATCTGATGTTTGAGACCATCTAATGAAGGTGCACAAATCCATGGGACCAGATTCCTGTCAGCCGGAACTGGAAATCATGTGGAGGCTCCTGGGAAATGCAGTACACCCCCATGTATCTTCCCCTTGGAAGATACTCAGCAACTGGTGCCCAGCCTGATTCCCAAGCAATAGCCATCCCGCCCTGGCCAAATCCATCAGCTTTACTGTTCAACATGATGCCACACAGTACAGAATATCCCTTTGTTCAGTCCTGGTCAGCTGTCCTGGCTGTGTCACCTCCCAGCTTCTTGTCCAGCCCCAGCCTATTCACTGGCAGGGTAGCATGAGAATCTAACAAGCCCTTGACTTAGTGTAAGCACTGTTCAACAACTACTGAAATTCCATTGTATTATCAGCATTGTTTTTTGCCTAAATCAAAATCATGGCATCATACCAGTCACTCTGAACAAAATTAACTCTATTCCAGCTGAAAACAGGACAAGGAGTTTTCATACAATCATAGAAATACTTGGGTTGGAAAGGACCTCAAAGATCATCTAGTTCCAACCCCCCTGCCACAGGCAGAATTGCCAATTGCTAGATCAGATTGCATGGCCTTGAACATCTCCACGGTGTTTCCTTGAGGACCTCAAGAGATAACCTTTTAAAAGTTAGCCAAAAAACTCTAGAAAGCCTACTGATGTTCTCAGCTATACCCTCAGCAGATGGAAATAAAAAGAGATTGAGGGAAAGCTGATTGTCACTGCCTTGTCTATGCTATCATCTATAAAAAAGTGAAACACATTGGTCATGCATAAACCCTAGCAATTAGTCTGGCAGAACCAAAGATGCTATTGGGACTATTATGGAGGCCAAGCAGCTTGAGGGCAAATTTTGAAAGGTGGTTTGGTATCTGCATGTGTTCACTGGTACCTACTGGAATTTTCAAGCCTTTACAAACCTGCTCCCTTAACTGACAGTAAACACTTCTCAGATTTTGGCTACAGAGTGCTCTCAGGAACAAGGAGGATCTTTAGTCATAAAGATCATGGTTTTTGATCAGTGTGAGACTATTTTCTAAAAAGTGCAGCTTAGGCTTCTCCTGCTGTGTGCAGTCCTACACCTCTTTCCTGTAACCAGTCAGTCAGTTCAAACTAATGTAAACAAAAAGGCTTTGACCATCCCAAGTACAAACCCTCTTCTATGCGAGTGAGGCAAATCTGGGTTACATTTTTTCTGGACGGACAGAACAACATTAAGGTACCATATAGAGAAGGCGGAGCACAATCTTGGACTGTGTTTCTTTTGTGAATTCCCCAAGGAACTCAGACATGCAAAACTATTCTCTTTTCTTTCCCATCAAGGTCACTACGGGACAGAATGAGGTCTCTAACGAAGGGTTGTTGTGTAATTGCACTTGGATTTCTTAACTCCAAACTTTCTGAGCTTAAGAAACTTATGATGGTAGTAGGAGGAGGGAAGGACAGACAGGTAATCATTTTATCCTAGGCTTTTTTAATGCCCAAATTATGTTTTACGTTCTGTAACACAGATGTCTATTCTTTGGAGTTTGAGTTAGGACTATGAGAAAGACGCATACATCCAGCCACTTGCA